GCCCTGCCCCGGTCACCGGCGTCGCTGTGCCGCTCCGCCGAGGGCTGCGGGGTGACCCCGGCACCTGGGGCGGAAGGGGAGTCGCCGCCTGCTCGGGGCTGGAATGGAAACAAACCGCGGCCCGGCCTCCGCTCCTCCTGCGCGGCCGTGGGGCTTGTTTCGCCCCGAGCCTCTCCGCTGTGGGGCGAGAACCTGGAAGTTTGGGCCAAGGGTCTTATTTTCGGGTGTCCGGGGCGGGGGTGAGCTCAGCGCTGCCTTGGGAGAGGGGCTTGCGGGGGGAGATGGGCTCTCCGCATCATCCATTATCGACTGCAGAATTCGCAGGAGCCCGGAAACATCACTTCGCGTTGTGTGCCAAGAGCCGGGCCTGCCCTTCCCTCCCGACGTGCCTGCTCAGTGTCCGGCGTCGTCTGCGCTATTGACAGCAGAATTGAGCTCCGCTTGCCGTTTGGTACTTGGCTCGGTGTGAGGAATTCTCTACCTGGGTTGCTGCGAGCAGAGCGGGACGCGTGCCTCCTGTCTGCCTTTAGTTATTGAAAACTAGCAAGTCATCGAGAAGAGCTGTGTAATGATGGCTGGGGAAATGAGATTAGTCTTTTTCTAGAAGGAACAGCCTTGATAGAGCGGTGCCAGCACTTCTTTCTGTGCTTCGGATGGGACCAGAGCGATCAAAAGAGCTCAGTATCTGTTCATGTGTGTCGGTGAGGTAGGCTGAAATGCTTGAGGGTAACAAGAACTGGCAGCGTAACCTATTTCTGTGTGAACTATGAAATCCCGTACGTAAAGTGGAATTGGTGGAAGTAATTGATCCAGATTTTCTTTTCCTTCTGCCTTTGGGTTAAAGTCAAGCTGCTTAAGAGAGCTGCCTGGGGTGCCCACCCTTGTCTTTGCTCTTCTGTTAAACGTAAGCTGTTCTCCGCACCGAAGCAGAGAGAATTTTGATCTAACAGAGTCTACGTTTAAGCTGCCCCTTTTCTTGGAGTCTTCCAAAACTGTTGTTGACCCCATCGCCTGTCAGCAGCCTCTGTTGCAGGTATTAAGTTCAGCTAGGATGGCAGCCAAGCAGTTGCCACTGCAACTAATGTCGTCAGAGAGCAGTGTTTATCTGTGGCTGACTGAAGTCTGATTTTGAACACGCCATATACAATAATCTCAATGATTTGTCCACTTTATGTTCCTTCTACTTCTGGGAGTTTTGCTGAATGACGTTGCCGTAAACAAACCTGTTTCAGTTGAAAAGTTAAGTCAAACCCCTCTGTGCTTGCGGGGTTGGCGGTTGGTCTCATTCACTCCCCGTATCTCTTGTGATTCTGGTTAATCTTAAAAAGTATTTTAATTAGCTAGTATCTCTGCCCTTGAAGTGTTAATGCTGGTCTGTAAGAGTGTGACTTGGGCTGTGGGACGTGCAGCAGGATGGCTTTCAGGTTCCTGGTCTTGCAGTCAGGTGAAGGCTTTGCATACTCCTTGCCTTAGTTCTGCTTGATTCACCTCCAGCTTAAAAACGTGATTCACAGGAGCTGCGTTTCCTTACTGGGCTCATAAAAAGGCACAGGGATGTATTTTGTGCACACAAATTTAATAAGGACTAATGGAGAGCTGAGTGATGTTATTCCTGAGTGGCGGGACAGGTAGTGTGTCCTGTGCATTAGCATACCAACAGTGAGCTGGGCTGGCGGGTGCTGATCTAAGCTCTTCCTCTCCCGTGTGCAGCACCTCTCCCTGGGCAGGTGTCTATTAAAGCCATGATGCAACACTTAAATCTTCTCTCTGAGAGGTGTTTATAAGATGGAGATGGCCTGGAAAGCCCCGGCCCGCTGAAGAGAACTGGAGAGGTTAAAATTGAGTTCACTGAATCTGAAAGTAGGCAGGGTATAAACAGATGCAACTGCCTCTGAAAGCAACTGCGCCTGTTTACTTTGGCTCCGACGTGTACTTTAGCCTGGTTTTTAATATCTGTGCTATTAATATTTATGTCTGAGGAGAGGTGAACTTTATCCTGCAAACTGGCACAGAGAGCAGTGAAATGTCTAGGTACACAAGAACCTACCAACAAGCTTCTGCAACAATGGGTGCGGCATAATCAAAATAGAAAACTGTAATTCAGTAATACTAGAACACACGGTGTAAGCTGATGCTGCCAGGCTTGGGCCAGCCTCAGGTCTCAAGTAATTGTTGACAACTTCCTCTTCTGGGATCTCGCAGAAATAGTACAGGATATTCAGTCATTGACTTGTGCGGTGTAATTTGATGCTGTCAATTTATGAGATTAAATGTCTGCTTTAGGGGGCAGAAAATGAGGGGGGGGGGTGTTGCTACCTCCTTTAACACTTTCTAGGAGTCCCAGGCAGAGTGTGTGTGCAGTACTTGTCACCTTGGGTTAAAGAGCAAAGTATTGTCTGTCAAAGGAGAGGTTTTACTGGTGACATTGCTGTCCCATTTGAAAACTCATTTGCCTGAATTTGCCTTTGTGGCTTTTACTAACATGTGGTCCCCCTCTTCAGTGGTAGAGAAATAAAGGTAATAACAGCATTAAGTGTGGATGTTTGAACAGACTCTTTTTTCATCTCTTGCAGAGCAAAGAGTGGAAGATGTACGACTGATCCGAGATCAGCATCCAACTAAAATACCAGTAAGTCTGGTTCTTTTCATTTTTCACTTCAATTTCTAGTCTTATGGGTTTTTTTCAGTAGTTAGAAACCTGTAAAAGAGCTGTCCTGATGAGACCAAATTAATATTTGGCCATTTGGGGTTGTTAAGCCTGAATTTCAGAAACATTGTCAACCTAGTAACCTGCAGTGAGTGTGGTAGAGCCAGGTGCTAGCTGGGGACTGGAGGAAATGGGGTTTCCTGTGTACTGAAGTTGCATATTGTAGCTTCAAAGAAAACCACACCCCGGCTGAGCTCTGAGATTCTCCTGAGTGTTCAGCTCTTCTCGGTGTTTATCTTCTCCAAAAGAAGAGTCTGCAGAGGCTAACCAAGAAGAGTAATGTAGAGACAGATATGACTTCCATCTCCAGTCTGTGCTTGGGAAGGACAGAAACATTTGCCTTCCAGGAAATGGGCCCGGGCTTGAGGTCTCCAGAAATGCTGCTGAGCTGTCAAACCCCTCCATTTCACCTCCGAGAGGAGATCTGCCCTCAGCTTGTCACTCTTTAGCTGCTCGGCTCCAAATGCTGCCTGAATTTTTATTTTCTTGTATTTATGGCATCCTCAAGGTTACAGATGCAAAGCAAAGCATCCTAGGAAGCAAAAGTCAGAGATCATGTTCTGTTGCTGATGAGTTCTTCACAACTGGTGGGCTTTGTGGGACGGCTGTCACCACGCTAAGCAATAAATAAATGCCACCATCCTTATGGCTGTTTGGTGGAACGAGGAAGGTCTCAGGAGATCTTGGAGGGCAGAAGAGAGAACCGAATCGGATGCCTCAACCTCTGGTTCTCAGTGATGAGAACTGGTGGTCCCTGGGAGTGACAATTCTGTGACCAGACTGCTTGCAAACTGTCTGCGCTTCCATTAACAGAAGCCGTTGTTGCCTTTAGGTCAAAATGAAACTAAAAGCTTATCACCTTTAGCTTTAAACTGCTTCATCTCGAAACTGCTGCTGCTGCTTTACTACACTGCTGGGCACGGGAACAAGTAATATTTTATAGCAGAAATTTTCTGACTTGTCTGGACTGTGCAGTTTTCCCAAAGGGCCCTTTCCTAACAAATCCGTTTCCTGACAGAAGATTGCTTTTTCACCCACCTTTCACAGATCACTGAGCTGTAGTCCCCAAGCTCTGTGACCACAGATTGAAAGCCGTTGATTTATAGCAAAGCTCTCATTTCAAGTCACCCATGGACATATTACCAGCAAAAATTCAGAGGTACCTAAGCAACTTGCTGAAGAGGCAGTGGTGCAAACTTGCAGCTATGGCAGAGGCCTGCTGGGGTGCCTGGGGGCTCGCTGTGGTGGCCTCTCCGTGTCCTCACTTGAGTCACGGCCTCGTTTATTATCATTAGCATTTCTGGATGAGATAAGATGGCAACATCATGTTAGATGGTAAATCCCTCCAGTGCCATCAACATCCTTCATTTTGCTGTTGGAAATACTATCTCTTGTTTGTGCTCGACCTTTTTAAAAATAGTGTGGGATTTTTGTTTTTGTTTTTGGTTTTTTTTCCGGAATGAGCTGGCATTTATGTAAACTGGTGCAAGGAAGTCTTTCTGCAATTTAATTAAATTGGCTCAATATCTCTTCACCTGTGCAACTTTTGAATATCAACACAGCCAGACCCCGTGAGCGTGGAAATGATCCAAGTGAATGGTGTCACGTAGCTACCGTTGATTTAAAAACAACAAACCCCACATGGCTGTGAAAGCGGGAGCGCACGAATTCTGAGATCATTGCTTAAAAGCAGGAACTATATACAGTTGCTGGGCAGGGTGCTACTTAAATTGGCAAATCTGCAATTTCCTTGTGAATTGAGTAGTTACTACATAACAACCTTGACAGAAATACTGGTTCCTAAGCATGCTGTTTGGAGATTAAGGAGGAGGAAATTCTCTCCTTTGAGGCTTTACACCCCTCAAAAGTAGCTTTCTCTCGTGCCGTAGAGTCACCGTGGAAGGTGAATGGAATAGCATACTGATGTGGAGGTGTAGTTCTTTGAAAGAGATGGCCTGAAACTGGAGAAATTCTTAGTGAAAACTGCTTGACTGTGCAGAGTGCTGTAGCAGCCCAGGCCCCTAGTCAGCCGCTGTAATGTGTTTGAGGGAAGCGTGTGTTAGCTTTTCTTGGGTTTCCTTGTTGCTGGGTAATTCAGTGCTAGATTGAATGATTCCAGCAAATGAACCGTTCTAAAACTACACTGACGCTGTGGACGTGGTGCTGTTAAATCCCTGTTTGCTACCTCTGCGTGCAGTGACTGTTGCAAATAAAACAAGAGGAACACGTGAGGATAATTATAATATAATTGTTCCTTTTCAGATTCGAGATGCTGCGTCCTCAAATGAAGGGGAATGGAGTTTGGCATAAACGCTTGTATTTTGTGGTGTTCGAAAGGGAGGGGGGAGATGAGGGCACAGACACTTTCTGCCTTTCACATCTTCTGCTCCTTTCTTTTTGTTTCTTAGGTGATCATTGAAAGGTACAAGGGAGAGAAGCAGCTTCCAGTTTTGGATAAGACCAAGTTCCTGGTGCCAGATCACGTCAACATGAGCGAGCTAATCAAAATTATCAGGTAGTATGCTGTGATTTCAGTGTAAGCTGCTTCATCCACCTAAGGCTATGACTCTTTGTTAGTTCTCCACCTGGTGTATGCATCTGGGGACTCTAAATGGAAAATTCATCTAACGAGCCCTTGGTATCCTCACTAGGACAAATTTGTGAGGTGTTTTTCCTTCGGCTTTGCTGGGAAAAAAAAAAAAACCCTCTGAAAAGACCTGAGCTGTTAAGAGAAATCCCTGGTTCCCAGAGATGTAGGAGGGAGCCTGGAGCTGCAAATCCGTGTCTAACATGGGTGCTGCTGGCCCGGGGCTCCAGTGCTTGCTGCTCAGTTGTTTTGGGGTGTCTCCTCCCAGCTCTGCCCCAGAGTCCCTCTCCGGAGCTCCTGCCTCTTCCCACCCACCGGCAGGGGAGCTCTGAGCTGCTGCTTAGGGTTGATCTTGGCATCCTTTGATCGTGAAATGAGGTTTCTCTCAATGACAGTGTTGAGGCCTAAAAAACCCACACCCAGACCAGTGGCTTTTTGTCCCCGCTGTTTGTGCAGACTGTGGCTTGAGCACTGCTCCGCTCTAGTGCTTCAGCTTTGTTGACAAGAAAGAGTGAAAGGGGAAATAGCCAAGGAGTGGAAGTCCTGTGGTCTAAAATTGTGGTCAGAAATTCTGCTAGAAGTGCATTTCTCCTGGCTTAGAAGGAGTATCTGATTAGTAAGAGTTCTCAAGAGGTAAACTTGGAAGTTAGCAGCAAACCAGAGTTTGCTTTTTGCTGGTCACGGGGTAGCTGGGAGCTGGTTTGTGGAGGCCACAAGCTGTAAAAACTGAGACTTGTCCTGTGTGTCCAAACAATTCCTGCCTCCGGGGCTTGTACAAAAACTGTCTGGCACAAGCAAATCCCAGCTCTTACGTGAGTAAGAAAGTGAGGTAGGGTTTTGGAACCAGGAACCAGATTGATAAAGTCTTCCAGAATGTCTCATGAACATTAAAAGGCCCTGGGCAGAAAGGTTAACAGCAAGCTGAAGGATTTTTCCCACCTTTTTTTTTTATTTGGCTTCATTGTTAAGAGGTAACTTGGTCCCAGCTGGACTTGGTCCTGAGCCAGCGCAAAGCCTGGCCTTCCCCACCCTCAGATAGCTGTCGCCTTCCCTCAGCCTCTCTTGGGAGCACTTAGAGCTTGGCTTTGGAAGGGTCCCTTCCCTAGGCTATGCCTGGGAGGCTCAGTAAATCCTTGTTTCCAGCAGCGAGTGGAAGCTGCGGGAAGCTCGTCTGATCTGTTGTTCTTTCCTTCTTTCTTTGGTTCCCCTCCATGTATCCGAGTTCCTCTTTCTCCCTCGGTTTATGAAGTAGTAAGAGAGCTCCTCTGGGCAAACCTGCTTTCCAGCAGGCAGCTTAGCAGAAATACCTATTTCCATTCCCTCGGGGCCTGGCGCTGGGGCCTTGGCTCCAGAGACTCATCCCCCCTCTCTGCCCCCTCCTGGCAGGGAGTTGCCGAGGGCCAGGAGGTCTCCCCTCAGCCTCCTCTTCTCCAGACTGAACCCCCCCAGTTCCCCCAGCCGCTCCCCAGCAGACCTGTGCTCCAGACCCTGCCCCAGCTCCGTTGCCCTTCTCTGGCCACGCTCGAGTCATTCAATGGCCTTTTTGGGGTGAGGGGCGCAGAACTGAGCCCCCCCATCGAGGGGCGGCCTCCCCAGTGCCGAGCCCAGGGCTCAGATCCCTTCCCTGTCCCTGCTGGCCACGCCAGTGCTGACACCAGCCAGGATGCCGTTGGCCTTTTGCCCCCCTGGGCACACTGCTGGCTCCTTATCAATCAGTTAACCCCCCCAGTCCCTCTCTGACCAGCAGCTCTCCAGCCGCCCCTCCCCAGGCCGGCAGCCCTGCTGGGGGGTGAATTTTTTACCCCTTTGAGGTGGGGAGGGGACGCCTTTCTCAGGGGCAGGGCTGCCTCAGATGGGGCCACCCTCCCAAGGATTCTTTTTGCCTGTGTGGATGCGAGTGGAACCACGCAGTCACAGCTGTTCCCACCCCCTGCTCCCCTTCACCCCCCCCAACAGGCGACGCCTGCAGCTGAACTCCAACCAGGCCTTCTTCCTCCTGGTCAACGGACACAGCATGGTGAGCGTTTCCACGCCCATCTCCGAGGTGTACGAGAGCGAGAAGGACGAGGATGGCTTCCTCTACATGGTGTACGCCTCTCAGGAGACTTTCGGAGTGCAATCTTCTGTCTAGGACACGCCAGCGGCTTCTAGCCTAGGATTTCGGTTTACCCTTGGCCATCACCCCCCACTCTTCCCCACACACACCCCAGGGAAAGAAGCGGATGTCACCTACGCTCTCAGGCCCGTAGCATAGTCTTGCTTTAGCAGGTGTCTCATCTTACCTTGCCTTGTTTGTGACTATTAAACAGTACAGACGAGCACCTCCGGCTTTGAAACCTGCTGTAATATTCCACACAGGCACATTTACATTTCTGGACTTTTGTGAATGGAACCCAATTGTGCATGTGACGATTGCAAATAAAGGGACACTCGATTGACTTGAAAAAGCAAACAGGCACCAGGGAGGAGCTAAAGTGTTTCCTGTGAGTTTTCTGGAAAATCTTCCTATGATTCCTTAAAAGTTTTGGGGTTTTCTTTAATAAAACAAGAAGGCTTCTCGTGAGAGCAAATGCGTTTTAACGTTCCAAAGCAGAGCTTTGTCTTCTGCAGCTCGTTCAGACTCATGTCAGGGCTGCAGGGAGTTAAGGCAAGTGCTTGGGGTGAGCTGGGGGAGTACAACTCTTTTTTTTTTTTTTTTTTTTTTTTTTTTTTTTTTTTGATTTTTTTTTGGTCTCCGTTTTTTGTGGCACCGCAAACTTAGAAACGGTGCCAGTTTCTGAAATACTCATACCAAACACCACAGCTTTACTGTAGTTCTAGGAAGCGTTTAACTGTAAAATACACACCTGGACAGGTAACATTCAATAAACTCCAGTCTGTTATGAAGTTCCAATCCCTGTGTGTTCAGTGCAACACTGTTGTTCGTACGAGTTCGCTTCCAAACGATCAGCCTCCCCTCCAGCCCCTCCCCGGCCCAGTGGTTTGATGTTCCTAGTGGTTTGAAGGGAGTGGCGGGACCCTCCCCAGCGCCGGAGCAGCGGGGACAGGAGCAGCGCCCCAACCCGCTCGCCCTCGGAGAGCCCCGTCGCCAGCGGCCCCACGGCTCCTGCCATGGCTCCTCCATCCCGACCACCAGACCCACCGACCCGCCTGTGCTGAACCCGCTTTGCACAGGGAGGGGGGGATCGAGGAGAATTTTAGAAGCAGCTCGCGTCCGGGGGCTGCTGTCAAGTTGACGAACAAATGATTATTTTATATTTTTTTCCGTCACCGACGTCTCCCACCGCTCGCCTGGGGTTGGGAAGCGCTCGGTGTTCCTGCTGCCCGGAGCGGGGAGGACCCTGCGCAGGGGGTTGTCTGTCTCGTAGGACCTCTGGTTTTCCTCTAGAGTTGTTGTCACGTGAAGTGTAGCAGGATGAGATTACTCGTGTGTATGATGTGTCTGTGAACTAACTACAGCTGTTACTGGAAGCTAACTTACTATCATGGGGGAGAAAGAAGCAATACTACTGCGTCTCGGCACTCTAGCTCAGCAAGGTGTCCAATTTGTACCTACCTACGCCTCTTTGCATGCATCTCATTCACAACGCTTCGGATTTTTTTTTTATTGTTCTTTGTGTTTTTACTCCCGACGTAAACTTTTAAATGCGGCTTGTTCTATGTTTAGTTTTGTGTAAGGAATTGTTTAACTCATAACTGACAACCATACTTGTAATTACGCCGTGATTGACTGATATTCCTGTACAAATGTTGCTTTTTTTAAAATTAATACAGTGCTGAGATGGATGGGTTACATCCCAACTTCATGATGGCTCGGGTGGTTATTTCTAGACGGGATTTTCTCACAGGTACGTGGCACAGAGCCACGTCCACCTGCCTTGGGAGGAGCTGCTGCCCCCCAGGGGGAGGAATTCTGGCTGTATTTCCCCTGTATTCCGGGTGTAATGGAATTCCGTGTGTATTTGCCTGGTAAAACAGTTCAGCTCCGCAGCTGGGCAGGGACCAGGGCACCCAGATGTGTTTCTGTCTCCCCAGTTTCCTCCTCATCCTCCCCCAGGGAAACCGGGAAGGAGGTGGGGGGGTAGGAGCGAGGTCGCGGCCACTCTCGGTGACAAACCACGAGCACAAACCCTTTGGGTTTTGGAGTTGAGTCCAGGAGAGGAGTCGCAGGCACTGTAATAGAGCTGGGATTCACGAGCAGGGGTCTGGGGTGGAGAGGCAGCAAAATAAAGGACATTAATTTAAAAAAAGTAAATTTAAAAATGCCCTTGGTAACTGCTCCACACAGATAAAAGTAAAATATACATATTAAATATAAATATAAAATAAATACACACCAAAAATTTTTAAAAATACAAATAAAATAAATACAAATTAAAAAAATAAAATAAAAAATACAAAGGGATTCTCTTTAACTCTTTATTTTCCATACATTAAATTTACTCAGATAAAAACATTCTAAAAATGTACAATTTTACTTTTAACAAAGTATAATAAAACATAAAAATCCCAATACCAGAATACTTGACATTTACAATTCAAAATCAAATTAGCTGAATATTAAATATTTACAAAACTATTTAAAATATTTATAAAGTTACATGCACAATTTGTAATACTAGAATTGACCGAAGTAAAAGAAATGGCTCAAATGGGAGCAGGAGTTTCCTTCATTCCTAGTGGAAAGTTATGTCCAAGAGAAGCTGTTAATCTGCACTTGAAAACACACAGGATTTGCTTTCTGCTTCGGTGCCGACACGCTTCTTGCTTACGGAAGGAAATTTTAAGAGAGCAAACGGGTAGTTCCAAGGGTTGATGCCCAGAGGTGGCGGCGGGTGGGGGCGCTCCCGTCCGTTGGGGGGTTTTTGCCCGGATTTGCCCACACCCCCCTGGTTTTAACGGGTGTTCTCGACCACCCCGAACGCGGTCAGTTTTATTTTGGGGGAGTTTTGCTCTGCCAAATCCCACAGACTACCTTGAATTTTTGAGTACCTTCACCCCGAAGCTTGCCAGCGAGAAAGAACATGAAACACAATTTGGGGTTAACGGTAAAGGGCTAGTGTTAGACCATTCAATTCGGAAGTCTGGTGCTTAATTTGTCAAGATTTAGTGACCGTGGTATGAAAAAAAAAAAAAAAATTGTACAAAAAGTGAAGCGTGACATGTTTTAGGGAAAAACACCGTGGAATTCCAATCGATACCTCGCTTACTAACATGAGGCTTCCCTCTTCCCTCTCCTGCTGCTTAGCGTCGAGCCTGGCATATTTATTAATGCTTAACGTGCAGACTGCCAGCGCGAGGAGGAGTTTGCTGGAAATTCCACCCTATTTCGGGTATTTCCATCACCAACGCTCCCAAACGGAAAACACTTCTCCAGCTGAATCGCAACAGAAACCGAGCACGGGGCTCACTCCCCCGAGGGAAGGCTCGGCCTGAACTTCTCCCTGCCCCTGCAGGGAGGTGACTTGGGATTCCCTTCCCTTTTATGTTTAAAAATCTTTTTTTTTTTTTTTTTTCTTCCCCACAGTGAAATCCATTTTGAGAACTAATTCTTTTTCTACTTTTAGGACAAAGATAGGAATAAATAGCATTCTTTGAAATCTCCATCTTTCAGTGTATAAAAATAAAGGTTTTAAGAACTGGTTCTTTCAGCCAGTGAAGCTGGAACTACTATTCTAAAACAAGCTGCCTTACTTTTCCGGGGTAAAAAGATGGGATTTGTGCCTTTTAAAAACAGATGAAGGATTATTTTATGGAACTAAAGTGCTCTGTTCGGACTTCCCAGCTTTGGTTGGTCTCGGTACAAGGTGGACAGCGCTCACGGGCAGGTCTGACGCCGCAGCTTGCTTCGACCGAGGGAAGGCTCTCAGCAAACATTTCTGTGTTACACTCGTGCTGCTCTAAGGTACTCAAGACTTCTGAATCTGAACTTACTCGAAAACCAGACTTCACCATTTAAAAACGTTACCTAAAAGTACACGTAAGCCACTCGTAAGAAACATCAGCCTTAAACTTTACACAAAGGAAACGATCCCAAAGAAAGCTCGGAAGAAAGGAATGAAACGGTTTGCTGGACAGAAGTTCAGTTTTACAGTCCTTTTGTTATGGTTTCAACTCTGCGATGAATATTAGACGAGACTGTGTGCCCAGCCTTGGGCATTAAAACAAAATGCACAGAAATTACCTTTTTTTTTTTTTTTCCTCTTGATTTTTGCTATTTCGAGAGGGTTTTTAACACCTGCGTGAGTGTTGAAATACAGTTTATTTAAATACAATTCAGTTTTAAAATACTGTTTAAAAAAAGTGGAAAAAAAAAAAATAATAATAACGTTAAGGTTTGGCTTTCAGCACATGTTCCAGGCCACTGGAGAGACCCTCAAAGCTGTAAAGAGTAAACATCGTCACTGAAATCTGCGTGTTTCCTTCAGCGTAATACAGTATGACAGATTGTTCCTACCATTGTCTCAAGCTCATTAAGGCAAAGTAAATTGCATTGTCAGGTTTCATCACGTTAGTGTTGCAGGTCTGAAGGTTGTTCGTTAGAATACAGGTAACCTCAACCGCAGGGCAGAGCGAGCAGGAGCGTTTCGGGGGTGCACAACGCTGCGGGGAGCGGGAGCTGGGCCGAGAATACACAAAGCTCGGTTTTTATTTTTCGTTGCATAGGAATAAAAAGAAAAAAATTGTTTTTTTTTTTTAAAAAAAAGCCCAAACGTTACGCAAATTTAGATCTGGGTTTCCACAAAGCCAAATCCGCTAGGAGCTGCAGATCACCAACACCTGGACCTGGGGTTTGGTTTCTGGCCATCTCACACCGCCGTGCCTCTCCGACGGCCGCGGCGCTGCAGACGGCCCAGAACTTTGTTTTGTTTTGTTTTGTTTGTTTTTTTCCCCCTACAAACACAGTCCAGGAAGGCCTCGCCTGCCAGGCCACGCGTTACCCCCTCCCAGTGCCGATTCACTCCTCGGGGCAGCTCCGCACCACTTCAAAACCTCCTCCTCGGCTCTGACTTCCCTCAGTTCCGAGCGCGCGTCAGCTGCGCCACTACAAATACTGTTCATCCTGGTGTGGTTTGAACTGGTGTAAGAAATACCCTCCAAGTGTAAACAAGGCTTCAGACTTTAAAGGTGTCTTCCAAATTACAGTATGCAAATATCTCTATGTCAGACATTTTAAAGAGAAGGCCTCACCCATTTAATGCCGTCAAATTCCTCGGGTGAGCCATGAGGATTAGTATCTTCTTTCAACCAGACAGGACCAAACTGTTTCAAATTAGCAGTTCAAGATTTGTTTGGCTTCCTCTCAAGTCCTAATTTAGATTTGTCACCCACAAATTATGTACGCTAAGTAGTTAACACCAAAGCTAGTCATCTACAATCTATTGCAACGAAGGAGGCCAACAATAAATCCTTCAAAGTCTTGATAATAATGAAGTTTACTACCTTTTACATGTTTTGACTTCTACCACTTCTGAATCCTGTAGCAAAAGCCTTGGGGTAGGAGTCAAAGGGTTGGTTTTTTTTATATAAAGTAAAGCAAAAGCTTACAAACTCTGCTGCCAGAGTTCTTTTTTTTTTTTTTTTTTTTTTTTTTTTTGGATGGTTTAAAATTCATTTACAAAAGCAGAATAATAAGGTTTCTGTGAAAGAGACCTATATACAGTAACAGGACGTAAAGGTTGGTTTGTGTATTACAGGAAAATATCCTTGAAGCCTTTATGACTCTGGAGTCTCTGGGACTTGGACCCTTGGAAACTTAAGTTTATTCCACTGCTGGGAACCCAGCACTATCTAGTAATAACTGAGACAATGAAGCACAAGTTTGTTTCCAGAAGGAACCGAAACTGCCGTGTGTGTTCTTTTGGAAGGGAAAGGAGAGACTTACTTAAGATTTTTATTGTGTAGTTAAAGTCACATAGCCTGCTGGTGCCAATTTTTAAAAGTTGGAACTTCTTTGCCTCTTGCACTGGTCTCAGAGTGACACTGTCTGCTAAAAGTGCAGAAAGCTTGAAGAGTTTTACATTCTTCTGTAGTGCAATCCTTAAAAATCCCAGAGATTAGTGCCTGATCACTTTTGAAAAAAAGTAGACATTTTACCTAGCCCAGGGGTGCCAAAGTCCTTCTGGCGAACGGCCGCTCCTACCTTCAGCCTCCAGCTTCCACTTCAGAATGTAGCTGCCCTGGAGTTAGACGTTTCACCTTAGAAAGTCCACATATGGCAACATTCTCCAGCAAAAAAAAAAGTACATCGGATGTTGTACTTGCAACAGAAAACGCAGCTGGCCAGCCCCACCATCCGTCCAGTACGCATCGGTCCTGTGACACGTGGTCAGAAGTTCCAACAACAAGATCCAAGTTTGAATTTGGCAATCAAAAATGGGTTTGATGCACCCCTAAGCTAGATTTTCTACCTAGTCTAATAAAGTAAAGCACCTTTGGATTAAAAAATACATTAAGCTTAACAGCAACTGGACGTCTCAGTTTTGTATTTCGATCTCCTTCTGTCTCCATGGCTTACAGTATTTTCTTGCCAGAGAAAATATCAGTCTGTGGAGTCAAGACTTTCAGAGGGAGGAGCGTATTTCAGCCTGAATGTACCTGTGGGAGAGGAAAGAGAAGAATTAAACATCAACCTGGCGGAGAGGAAACGGAAGAATTAAACGCCAACCTTTTCGCTGCCTTTATGTCTCAGAACTTTCTAAACCGAACTACTGCTCACGAGGTGCGTAAGGCAGTATTAGCGGCCAGGGGACGGCTGTTTGAACTGAAAAATCAAGGCACACTTTTACACAGGAAAAGTCACCGGCTTGGATGTAGTTTCAGGGCTGGCAAAAATCTGTTTGGGATAGTTTAAATGGAAATTTAGTTAAACGAAACGGAATTCGGCTTCCGAAACGAAGACAGCAGATTACGTTTGTGAAGTTCTCCGAATTAGGACTGATGAGGCAGTGTTGCTGCTTCCCCACTGCCCACTATCGAAATAATAGCCACAGAAACTCCACTAATTAGGTACATTTTAGCACTGCTGCGAATTGCTGCCTCAAAACCAGTCACTTGTTATTTTATAGTAGCCAAACACTTCAGACCTTGTCTGTACCGTGTAAAAGCAAACACAGACACAACTGTAGACAAGACGCAACACAAAATACAAGACCTCAGTGCTGTTTGCTCCAGTCAGAAGTTGGCATTTCATTTTTTAAGCCCACACCACACGCAAATTATCTCAACACAATATGTCAATCGAAATAAAAAGGAAAAATGGGACTAGAAAGTGCTCTTGGTAAAATAATGTTTCTCTCTTAGTTGTTTCCTGCCCGGAATTAAGGATTTCAGCTCTCTCCTGGAGAAGCCTGTGCTGTAACCCTGTAAGCAACACGCCCTACAAAATAATTATAGCAGCAAACACGGGACCTTCAAGAGCATTTGAGCAGCAATTCTCCATTTGGGTTACTATTTTGGGCAGGAAGGGAAAGGGGGAACTGAGATGTTCGAGTTTGTAAACTTCCAGGGGAACTTGCAATTATCATCAAAGATGACCTAGATGAGAAGGCAGAAGCAGCAACAATTATTGCACTGCAATATGTCTGGAGAAGCTCCCTCCCTCCCTGCTTCTCCCCTGCCCAGAAACCCTCCCAAGCCCCACAGAGCACCCAACTCTGACCCAAGTCCTTCCTCGGGCTCTTGTCCTCACATCGCTTCTGCACAAAACTAAGTTCCAACTTTTGCCAATTATAACTCAAACCCACCAGCTGTCCAGAACGAGATATTTTTTGTTTTTTATGCAAGTCTGAAACGAAAAGCCACAGCACTGCCACCAGGCAGCCGTTCCCCCCCCTGCCGTAAAGGCCACGCTCTGCAGGCCAGCCCCCGCCACACCGCCCCCCCCGTGCTGCTTTTACCTTGTCGATTGAAATCCATCGGAGGCTGTTTGCAGTCCTGAGCTCTGTGACCACTGGCCCCACAGTTGTAACAGGAGAGATTCCCATTTTTTTTGTGACTTGAGCCATTGCTGTTTCCCATCATTCCCTGTGCCTGATACACCCCCGCTGTCCCTGCCATAAAGTTCTGCATTGGCGGCACCGCGAACGTCGACTGCCCGGCCATGACGGAGTCCGGCGCCAGGCCGCTGTTGTAAGCGGTGTGGACCACGGGGAAGGTCGTGCTGCTGTTGTACTGCTGCGTGTTGATGTAGCCGTTACTACACAAAGGGTTGAAGGGTAGAAACGGAAAAGTAAACATTGAAGGTCCTGAAAACGGGTGCTGAAAATAATTAGTGTAGCTGACGGTCATACCGCTGGAGCCGCAGTTCCCGCTGCACCCGCAGGAGCTGCACACCATGCACCCGGGCGGCTGCGGCTGCTGCTGCTGGTGGTGATGGTGGTGGTGGGTCTGGTTTGGGACCGGGATGCTCCCCGCAGATCCACTGCTGCTGCTGCTGCTGCTGCTGCTACTGCTGCTGCTGCTGCTGCTGTAGAAGTTGTTCTCGGCCACGGAGGAGAGCGTGGGGCTGGAGCTGGGCGCGGGGCAGCTGGGCAGATTGGCCATGGTGGCAAACGACGTGGAGGGGTGGCTGCTGGAGGAGGCCGCGTTACTGTTGGCGCAGAAGCTGCCTTGCATCGGCGCCACTGGCACGCTGCTCATTGCAGAAAAGGCAACTTTGGTGTTGGCTGTGTACAGAGCAGTCCGGGGATTTATTATTGCAGGGGACACCGTTATTTGCATATTACTGGAGCAGGAAGTCTGTCCGGCAATGGCGGAATCAGTAGGAAGAGATGAAGACACCAGGAGTTTGATGGGTGGACGAGCCACGTGGAAGACTGTGCTGGATGTTACGGTGGCAGCAGTGCTCGTTTCTACTATTAATCCCGGCTGCTGACCTGTTTTTATCACTCTGTCCAGAGTCGAAGCGTGCACAACTTTGGTTCGAGGCCCAAAGTTAATAGTAGACGTGGGTGAGCTGTTCTCAGCAGCCCCTGACAGCACCTGCAAGGGCTGGTGGGGAGCAGATGCAGACATGACATCCACCACTGTATTTCCAAAGCTCTTCTCCATTTTGATGCTGCCCCTAGGTCCAGGCGAAACTTTATTCCTTTCTTCTAAAGATAAAAGAGAATGCATAGACGAGGAAAGCAGCTTCATGTCTGCATTGCCACGGTCTGATTTATGCACTGAATTTAGCATCCGGATGGGGGTGATGTGAGTAGAGCCCGCTGACATCATCTGCATGGGCAGAGCGTGGTGGCCGGACGGGTTGGAGCCTGCATCGTTCTGCACTGGTAAGACCTGAGCCGTGGGTCTGGCAGAGCTCGAAGTGAAATGATTCAGTAACATCACTGGCTTCTCCTTTTCGGAACCGTCCAAGTGAATCTCCAAACCTAGGGACAGAAACATCTATAAATACAACGGCTTCACGAGACAAAGCCAGCTGACGCCAGCCCCTCCCCAGCTGTTTCTCTTACGTCTCTCGTTCTCCTCGGCGCTGTCCGAGCTCTCTTCCCGTGTCTGGATCCCCATGGGGCTGGAAGAAGAGCTGGAGTACTCGGAAGAGCTGCCCTCCCGGGGCAGCGGGTGGGCTGGCTGATCCACATCCACTCGCAGCTCTGCGGATAAAGGGTGTGCGAGCGATCAGGGAATGCAAACAGGAGCAGTAACACCTCCCTGACAGGACCTAATTACAACTCTTTCACGACACCATCTAACATGCATCGATGCCCAAGATTTAGAGAGATACAGGAGGTGTAACACTCGCTGACTAGTGCTATTCACACAGAAGCCATGAAGAGGAAACTACTTGCACTCCATCTAGACAGGAATCAGACTTTCCGATTGCTCCCTGTTGTTTACTGAGGGGAGACCTCCTGGCCCTCGGCAACTCCCTGCCAGGAGGGGGCAGAGAGGGGGGATGAGTCTCTGGAGCCAAGGCCCCAGCGCCAGGCCCCGAGGGAATGGCCTCAAGCTGCCCAGGGCAGGGTCAGGCTGGCTCTGAGGAAGGATTTCTGTGCAGAAGGGGCTGTTGGGCGTTGGAATGGGCTGCCCAGGGCAGGGGGGAGTCCCCGAGATCCCTGGAGGGGTTGAAGAGTCGGGCTGAGCCAGCACTGAGGGATCTGGTGGGGTTGGGAACGGTCAGGGGGAGGGTCATGGCTGGGCTGGAGGAGCTGCAGGGGCTTTTCCAACCCAGATGATTCTGGGATTCTGTGATTTTATTAAGCCACCTACACTGCAGAAGATAAAGCTTACAACAGGCTGGTGAAAAAGCAGTATGAGTTTGTTCTTGTGCGAGGTCATACGCAGCCCCGAGAGCGCAGCAGTGTCCTCTGCTCCTCTTTCTTACCTGCAGCATGGTTGCCACGAATACTCTGGATAGGCCCTACATGCGTAGTAGGGGGAACCCTTGCCACACCACTGCTGGTAACTGAAGAAGGTGTTGTGGGGTTTAGGCACCGTTTCTCTGATTTTTCTCTATAGGGCGATGGAGAAGAGTGTGAAGAAACAGAAACTGGCTAAAGCACAACAACAGATAAATCCACTTCTGAATGAAACTGAAGCAGCCAAAGCCCACTGAACAATCCACTAAAAGCGATGCTGCTTTCAAATGGCAGCTTTTGGAAATCACATCAATCTTGACTGTAGCTTCTTGCCAGCAGTTACATTCGGACTATGCGCCATCTGATTACAATGTTAATGCTCTTATTTGTACAAGGTAAAACATCACCAAATGGTGACTAAATTCTATCGCACATTACGTAAGCGTGTCCCAAACCTAGCCATGCCCACCAAAACAAAAGAGAAGCCAAATGCAGTCCTTTTGCAAACACACTCCGGAAAAAAACTAAGAGCGACGAAAAATGCTGTCAAGCAGCTTTGATAAATGGGCATGGACTTGGATTTTTTAATTGCTTTTTAAGTAACTGCAGTAGCGTCAGAATAAACATTTCTCTCTAAGCAGAGACACAAAAATTAGGACAATCTGTTGCAACAGTTTCCCCAAAGGGCTGTTGTTAATATTGCACAGAGCACTGGCCTTCTTTCTGTCACCTTCACCACATAAAGCTGGGATCTTCCCGAGACCAGGGTTACCCACAACTGGTAAACACGACTGTCAGTGGTTTGTCCCCCCCAAAAAAGGTACAAGTCCAGATCCTGTTGCCTCTGGCAACCCACACCCCAGCTCTGGTAGCCAGCAGAGAGGCCTGAGTGGCTGCAGCTGCCACGAGTCACCACAGAGGCTCTCAAAGTAGCTGTGCTTCGTTCACTCTGACAGGAAGGCAAAAAATTGTCAGGTCTTATGAAGAAAAAGTCCTGCTGGGCATCCTGACCTCCTGTGTGCATCACCTGAGCTCAAAAATCCTCCAGCTCAGCGACTTGCTTGCTTCATTTCCCCCTGCCTCATGAATCTCAGGTAGGTGGTTAAGCCCAAAATGGGACAACAACTACTACACAAGTTTAAAAAACCCCTAAGCAACAGTATGTGTCTTTTGTAAACTATTTAAAGGTGTTCCCCTCCTTAGAAGAGCTGCCAATGTGACAGGTGAAGACAGACCGGGTTACCATATCCATTTAAAACACAAATTCTTTACCTTTGGTTATCCTGACCACTACCCTGAACAGGCAACAGTAAACCAGCAAGTACTAAATATTATCTAGAAAGCCTCCGTTTCAGGAGCTTTTCAAAGTAACCGACACAACTGGAGAGAAGGGAGATAAGCACTACCTGTGTTTACAGGTGGGAAGCCTGGTAGGTTTATGGTCTGGAAAGCAAAGACCATTGTAAAACTTGCATTAAATCTCTTACGACCTTAAAAAGACAGTTCACCCCCCCACACACACACTTACTTCTCCAACTCCAGCTGGGTCTTGAGCTTCTTCTTTGCTCCCATGGTGAGAGATTCAAACTTATTCAGATCTTCCTCAGTAAGACTCAGAAACTTGTAAAGAAAAAAAAAAAAGCATGCTTAGTTTTATAGCCTGAAATAGTCTTATTTACATTTTCAATAAAGATCAGTTCTGAAAAACAATTGTAAAGCCATTTTTTTAAACATATGTTAATTCAGAGAAACTCTCTACTCCAGTTTTAAATTACAGAATTGGTGTAGAATAAGAGCGGGAGGGCTGGCATGAAGGAATAAATTAAATTTAATTAGGTGTGTGCTTATAGTAACTATTCATAATGAAGATGAAGTAATTTGTGTACATATTAAAACAGAACTTTGTGCTATAAATGCACAAAGGATCTGTTTCTCTTAAAAAAAAAAAAAAAAAAAAAATGTGTCATTTAACAGAAATCCATGTGCAGTCATCTCATCAGTTTAATTGGAAAACATACTCCAAAATTAAATTTTATAATAAAATATAGACAAAGAATATGAACTATATACATTTATAATATGATGAAAATGAAAGCCAGCAAAGTATGCATAATAATACATGTTAAAACACACCAGAATAAGCAACGTTTTGGTTCTTTATTAAAGAAAAAGACCACGATATAGCTTCTCTCACATAATGAAGAAAACCAAATCAGAAGACTCTGGTAACAGATTATAAGGAAATACATACAACACGCTATAACTAGCACAAAGCCATCCCAGTTTAGACCTGGCTCAACCTAAGCACTTAGTCCACTGGAGGGCGTTCAAGGCTAAAAGACAGTAAGAGGATATGAATTTTACAGATGGAGCTGGGTAAATGCTGGGTAAAAGTATTCTGTTTAGATAAAATCCAGCACAGATAGGTGTAATTTGTGACTCTTGTTATGCAAATATGTGATTATTCTTCTGCAGAAAACAAAAGCCTCACATTCACTTGCAGGTACCTGCACGTGCTGATGTTCATGTCAGAAGTCTCTGTGGTTGTCCTTATTTTAAAAAATAGATTCAAATATTTTGGGGAAAAAAAAAACATCAAGAAGCAGAAATTTAAAAAAAAAAATCCACAAATCTTAATTATCTACTACCCATCAAAGGGATGAGCAGGGAGCCAAAGCAGAGCTCCTAAGCCAGCACGCAGGATCTTCAAGCATTCAGTGAAGAATTCTGAAACAGGAGGCAGCTGTTGAACAGCCCAAGCCCTGGACACAACACAGATTAAAAATAGAAAAAAAAGTTTTTTATCAAAATATTATTGCTTCAGGAGAGTGCAAACCTCCCCAGCGTCTGCCAACAGCTTCTGCAATTCTCAAGGCAGCTGTCTGCAGCCTCCCTCTCTGCACCAGAGCACCTAAGGATAATTTAAAAGCTTGGCTCCCTTGCCTCCATCCACCGCCCTACCTTCTCCATCGTGAGCTGTTTGAAGACAGGGTAGTATTTGTGCAACCGCAGCTTCCTGAGCCAGTCTAAGATCCCGTTTTGCTCCTGTGTCTGAGGGGTCTGTGGACTGGAAGACATTAACATGGGTGCAGAAGAGGTGTCCATCTGGGTGCGATAGGCCAGCGACGAGGCAGTCCCTCCCGCGTGGGAACAGTGGGGTAGTGCAACGGGCGCAGCAGCCGAGTGCTGAACGTGATTCTGAGAAGACTGAATGCCAGCCACTCCACAGATAGGTCTGCAAAATAGGAACGTAATTCGATTTGGTGCGTTGAATCGGTGTCACCCGGAGGTCAGCTACTACGGCCGTACAAATCTACCACCACTTCCAGGATCTCTGGTAAAACCCGCATTGTTTGATCCAAGTCACAGATTTGTACCTATGCTGTTCGATAGCACAATAAAACCAGCACAGTTTAGGGGAAATAGTAAGCCTTCAGCTGAATCGAGAGGTTTCCTTTTATGATCACAGATAATACATGTTCTACTACCTCTCTGTGATTTAAAAAAAAGATTTAGAGAGAATGGCTGTGGCTTTTGGTTAAAAAGAAGCAGCCCAAATGTAACTCCGTGGAAATTTTTTTTATATGTGGAAGTGGCAAAATAACCCACACTACTGGCTCCTTGGAGGGTTCTGGTTTTCGCTGGAGAAAATGAAAATTGATTCTTAAGAGGGTGAGTTCTGAGTTTGTTAAATCCTAACAGAAAGCAAGAGAATTTCTTTCCTTTGTCTCCCAAAGCTGAGTTCTGCTTCCCTCAGAAGAAGTTTCCTTCCTCCCTCTGAAAGGAGAACTCCTGCTGTACCAGGAAACATTCAAATATGCTGTGGAGAGGAAAAAACCCTTTCAGAGATGCTCTAGTTTCCCTTTGCCCATGAAGACTTTTACACTCGCTACGAGCAGATCTGTGCCTACAATTTGGACGACCATTATTCCTTTTAAATATGTAATTGTGACCGTGACATATTATTCCTTCTATGCGACTGAGACCGTTACGACTAAGACAGTAAGGAGTGGATCGCAAAGAAATCTTCCATCACCGCAGCTCAGTGTTTAAGTGTCGATGCCAATTAATAGTTAAAGCTTTAAATATTTTGAGAAACGCTGTTTAGAAGGGGTGTTCATGGGTTTTACTGCCAGCAGAACGCTGCAATTGTCTGATCTCATCTCCCACGTAACGCCAACCAAAAGGTTTCTCTTAAATTCTTCCCTGAACATGCACAGCTCTTAGGAGAGGAGAGCCACTGCTGATTTCATAACCGTCAGCGACAAGAAATTCTGTCACAATGCTGGAGAGTTTGGTCCAATGGCAATTACATTTTATATCCTTTATTTTTGAAGCTGAAGTTGGATTCTCTCTTCCATTTAGAGCAATCACATCATGTTGTATTTGACTTGCAAAGCGTTACCTCAGTTTTGTTGTCTTTGTGATCAGCTCACTGCAAAACTTTTCTTCAAACAATTGCCTATTCTGAGCTCTTGTGGTTATTATTCTAATACATGTTTTCTTAAGGCATGTGAGGAATGAACAGATGCCAACACTAGGAAATGCCAGTAGGACTTTATACCGATATTCTCACCATTTCTCTGGTTTGGGCAGACCACAGATGAATATGGAAGTGTAGACACGAATGGGGAGACAGATAATTACCTATGTAATGGAGTTTTACAAATAATCAGAACCAATGTAAACCAAATAAATAATTCACCTTCCAGATGTTCCCAGCGTAGTTCCTACTTTATAAAGGGAGGGGTTGCCAGGATCTAAAAACAGGGAACAGAAGTTACAAATGGCATCGGTTTATGACAGGTACATCGGTACAAAACAGTAATCTTTAAACTCGATTTAAACTTACTTGAACTCTGAAGCTGCTGCGAAGGAGATGAAGTGCTGAAGAACTTTCTAACGTGGTCATTTTTCACCACATGGGAAGGTAATGGTGCCAAATACCTGCGCGTTCATCAAAAGCAAACAAACCCCCCCCCCCCTTCTGTTAGATTTGATTGGCAGCTGCCTATGCAATCATCATTGTAGATGGCACATGAAATTTTGAAACTGAAGTTAAGATTTTGAAACTAAACCATAAAAGACGTAACACCATTCAACGCTGAATCAATGCAGACTTGAAATGCATGGACGTTATCTTCAACGCTTCTTAAACACGTTACTGTTGTGTTGCTTTCGTTCTGTTTAGCATTTCAGTAAAGATACTTAATTGAGGAACGCTGAACGCGTGTAAGGCAGAAAACGTTAAAATACCAACTTGAAAATTTCATTTCAAATTCACAAACCTGAAGACCATAAAATATAGATGTATCTGTTATTTAATTTTCTCCTCTTGGAGATAAACAGCAGATGCAGAATCTGGCAGCGTAGGGGAAAAAGGCTGTAAAACTTATGTCACATCTTCCCTAGGATGGCTGTGCCTTCTTTTTGGGGAAAAAAAAAAGGGCAATCTCCTAAAACTCTGTATAAAGTGTGTTCTATCAACATGACTAAACTTATTGTCATGCAAACTGGACTGCCTTTTGCCAAACCTTCTCTAGATTTAAAAGCATACAGAAACCTGTTTAAAAAAAAAAAAAAAGGGAGCGTTTTGACCATCTCTTTGTCATTTTTAAAGCCTCTGAGTAAGAAAATAATTCAGCTATACGCACACATATAAACATGCTTTCCATCTTGGAAAAAAAAAATTAAAAAATCACAGTTCATTTTTGAATTTTTCAAATACGTAGCACTTAACAGCTTCTTCCCGTGCTCCAAAGGCACAACTGTTGCTGTGTAAATGCAGATTGCTGCTCTATTAACCTAGATTTGTAGACTGTTGCTAGCTAAACAGCAGCAGCACGCATTATCTCTTACCCTCCCTAATTCTCATCAATAGGCTGTGATCCTCAAAGCACAGAAGGGACTGTTTGAAATGTTAATGCTGTCTGCAATGAAAAAATAATCTAGGCATGCACCTGCTAGCTCTGACTATGGAAAAACAATATCCACTGCGGCTCTGCCAATGGTGGACAAAAGTCTTGTCTCGATTTAGGGGAAAGATGCTGAAGCTCTAACAAAAGTTAATTAGTCTTTTAAAATGTCATTTAATAATTTGCATAGGTACAGACAGTAGTAGCCAAAAAATAATTTAAGTCCCTCAAATTTTCCTAGCAAAGCTATTTCAGTATTTAGAAAGAGAGAACTGCTGTGACCTGCCACGGATGATGATTTTTAAAAGGCTGTTTTAGATTAGATAATGGGCAGGTGATTGCTGATAATGTGAGGAGGTACTTCCTAAGGCTTCAAAAATTTCTTAGCTGTAATAGTTTCCAAAAATTTAAGGGCCATAATATACACATAAATCCCTATCTTTTTAAAAATTAAAATAAAATACCACGACAACCTAAAACAACTGCAACAATAAAAAACTCTGTGAAAGGGTAGGGGGGGAAAAAACAAAACCAACCCACAACTCATCCCTCAATACAGACTGATGACTGTTCAGGCCACTACGTTTTCCTGAGTTTTGAGGGTTTTATTAAAAGCAGTTTTGGCTGTTCTTTGAGCTCAAACCAAGCTTCTGCAAAGCCAATGATCCTCTATTTGTTTTTAACAAGGAATGAGGAAATGTCAGTTCTCCAGGAAGCTTAATACAGAAGATTATTACCATCTGTATTTCTGAAGAAAGAATTCCTGAAATATTCTTATGCACTGGAATTAGTAGAACACCAAGAAATAACGCTCAGGATCAGGCTCTAATTTCTTGAAAGTAATTTAGAATATGAACATAATATTTCTATTTCCTGTTTTTTTCCTTCCAGTTGGTGATAAAAGCCATGTGTCAAATAAAAAAAAACCCACAATAACAAAACCCCCAGCATACCTAAGGTCCGATTCCAGGTCCATGTGGTTCCGTTCCAGGTAAAATGAATCTGGACCAGCTAGGCAAGGAATGAACTTCTCCAAGTTTTCTTCTGGATACAGCTGAGATAGCTAAAGGTGGAGGATATTCCAAATAATAAGTGAAAAGAAGACTTGTTACTCAAATGAGATGCAAGGCGCAGCAATTTATAGGTCAAACATTTTATGAAATTCAGTCTATCTGTATTACCTCAGTACATTTTGAAAAATGTCATTGAACAAAACTACATACGGGCACAAAACATCTCTCGGTTTGCAAAGTATTTTTCATATAGCCTTTACCTTTGAAATGAATTCAGTCACTTCAGTGGAAGATTTGGTTACCAACGTCACTGAAGAATCAGACCACAGGACCTTAGGAAGGAAAAAGTAATCAGTTTAGCAACTAATAGTCAGGGGTTTAAGTTGGGCTCCGAAACATCAATAACAGGTATCAAATGTCCCCCTGCAGACGGCACGAAGGTTTGTCATGTGTGATAGCAACGAGGAAAAACTTTTCTGTGCACAACTATTGCTCGGTCCTCCCTTGCTGCCCGATTCTTGCTGTTATTATACTTAACAACTATTCCGAATAAACTATTCTGCTTAAAAAAAGCACTTCAGAGTTTACACAGCCATCGCACTCTGCAGACATCCAGTATTAAGGAACAGACTACTAAGTAATGGAAATTTTTATTATTATTATTATTATTATTGTTAAAGAAAACAGCTGGTTTGTAGAAGCTGATGTGCAATCCGAACACCTCACCGCAGCACAACGGTGCCTATTTATAATTAATCAACTCCATATGCCATACAAAGTCGAAGATGGCAGGAAACACCCCCCCACACACACACTTACTTCTCCAACTCCAGCTGGGTCTTGAGCTTCTTCTTTGCTCCCATGGTGAGAGATTCAAACTTATTCAGATCTTCCTCAGTAAGACTCAGAAACTTGTAAAGAAAAAAAAAAAAGCATGCTTAGTTTTATAGCCTGAAATAGTCTTATTTACATTTTCAATAAAGATCAGTTCTGAAAAACAATTGTAAAGCCATTTTTTTAAACATATGTTAATTCAGAGAAACTCTCTACTCCAGTTTTAAATTACAGAATTGGTGTAGAATAAGAGCGGGAGGGCTGGCATGAAGGAATAAATTAAATTTAATTAGGTGTGTGCTTATAGTAACTATTCATAATGAAGATGAAGTAATTTGTGTACATATTAAAACAGAACTTTGTGCTATAAATGCACAAAGGATCTGTTTCTCTTAAAAAAAAAAAAAAAAAAAAA